GGGCAGATTTTCCTGTCTGCTTCTGCCCTCGTGTATTTTGGTTAATTCCCCATTTGTCTTACCGATCCTCTCCAGCAGGTTTCTAAAACTGCCATATTTGAGAGTGAACAAGGGTGCTGTCAATAATTACCCCCTGACGGCCCCAAGCCGACTGCACCTCCCCAGTCTGATCAACCAAGACCAGAAACGTCTTGAGTTGTTTTTTAATCGCTCAAGGCCCTTTGCTCAGAGCCTTAAATCCAGTGTAAATAGTTTTTTAAAAAGAAGGAGAAGAAAAAAGAATAGCTAGCAGTCAACACAGCACACTTGATAAGGATGTTGTGGCCTTGGAGACACGGTGTGCAGGCTGAGTATAAGAGCTGAAGCTACAGCATGAAGTTGACCACCCAGGAGGGAACTGTGGGGAGAGCCAGGTGGCTCCCCACAGCTGACCAAAAAGTGGCCAGGCCAGCCAGCGCCTCTTGGAGGAAGGCCCTTTGAGTTTAAGGTGCAGTGGGATCAATGTTGCAGAAGGACAAAAAATAAAAAATAAAAAGCAAGCCACATGAGGCCAGAATTTCAAAACCCACCTTATTTGAGGCTTTGTCACAGTCAAATATTTCTATTTCTCCTGACTTGTAGCTTTTTCCTGGTTTAGGTGCTAGCCAAAGGAAGGGTGACTTTTTTTTTTTTTTTAAATTAAATCAACCCAGGACCAGATGAAGCAAGTGTGGAATTTTAGGACCAAGCAGAGAGAGAGACCTGATCACCTTTATTTTCCTCCTGAAACTTTAGATGACGTGACTGTATAATGTGATTTTTTTTTCTACCCCTATCAAGTTTGGCTTCTCTTATCTTTTTGAGTTGATCCTTGAGTATCTGCTTGGGTGCTGATGAAGCTCTGTAGAAGATGGGAGTCGGTGGGGGGGTGGTCCTGATTTCATTACCTGCCGAGGCAGGGTCAGCAGGCCGCCCATTGAGTTCTGATGTACAGTATGAAGAGATGCCTCGCTTTTTCATTTGTTGGAACGAAGTGGGATTTCTGAGAAAGCTCCATATCTGAGAGTTGGAAATGATTACTTCTCATCACCATCGTTTTCTTATTAGAGGGAATAAATAAACCATGTCTGATGAATGGTCCGGGGGAACGCAGGCTTCTTAAAGAGGCATGCGACTCCCATGCTTTTGTCTGCCGTGTCCCCAAACGTCGACCTTTGTTTTTCGGGTCGTATCTTATTACTAGTTAGTTGGCATTTTTCTTTGCCTGAGATCCCGCTGGCCTGGGTGTGGGGGTTCCCTGACTCCTTGCCAGATCCGGCTGTAATTAGTGCTCCTTTCTAAGACCACAGCTGTTAAGAGCTGTGTTGCACTTGTGGGAAGAGGGATGGGCGAACTCCCAGGGACTGGGGCTTCGTTTCAGGCTTTAGCTGGGCCCCGAGACAGTTCCTGATTGTCTGGTTTGGCAGCTGAATTGATCCTTTGCAGTTGGTGGGTTTATCCCGGTTTGTCCCTTGTGATTCCAGAACAGGTTGAGCCCTTCCTCCCCAGGTCACATCACTTAAGATTGGAATGCGGCTTTTCTACCACCCAGTTCTTTTCTCGGCTGGACCAGTTTCTACTGGTTTGCCTAGGCGTCTTGTCCCACCCTTTGTTGAGTTTGGTTTCTGTTTCCCACACCCTTCTTTAAAAAAAAAAAAAAAGTGGGGGGGCTTTAAAAAACTGCTAATTGTGCTTAATCTGAGATGTCTTGCTTAGTATTAGTGTCTTGTTGCCCTACTATCCGCACCCTACCTAGGACCCTAGGTCTCTGCTAGGTCTGATTCTCTCCAGTTTGCATTTTTCTCTGGGGTGGGGCGAGGAAGACCCACCCTGTTAACTGCCCCCTTCGTGGAACAGTCACGGGGCTCCTGTTCCTCCGGTGACTCCCAGGGAGGGTGACAGGTGACTCTTTAAAAGCTAGTCTCCGAGTCTGACTCAGTGACTCTGGCCGGCGGTGTCCCTTTGGCATTTGTGGGTGGGGGGTGGGGGTGTGTGGAATTAGGTTTCCTATTGTTGGAGTAGAGGAATGTGATAATTTTAAACTAATTGCCTAACAAACCATTGGCTTGAAAAGGGTTTTAAAAAAGAAATCCATGTCTTGATAAGACCAAGGCCTTTCCTTTTTGCTCCCAGCTGTTGCCCTAGAGATTTGCTTGGAGCCCCCTCTGCTCTTGCTCATTTTGCCTTTTACTCAGCAGAGGAAACTTGTTGAAAAGGCTCTGCTGATTTCCTTGGGAAAGAGGAGGTGCTGTCAGGAGTGTGTCTGTTCTCTATGTTGAATGCGCTCCTCGACGGGGGCAGTTGTGAGGAGTGCTGGGGCTTGGCCACAAATCCCCAGGCTTCACAGGCGCACACTGCCCGTGCCCCAGCCCCCTGCCGAGGAGTGGGCACTTAGTGGCCTTGAGAATTCACAGAGGCCATCGACGGCTTCCTTGATTGGTCCCCTTCCCAGTTTAAATAAGTCCTGCCTGTGAACAAGATTTCTACAGCAATAAATACTTGGTTAACCTCTTGATTTGCAGGCAGCGCTTGGGAAGGTAACCTGCTCTTAAAATTGTCAACGGATGTGACAGTGTATGTAAACTTGGGCCACCTGGAAGGCCAGAACGGGACCCTTCTTGCCCAAGGCAGAGGGCAACTGCTAACATGGAAGATCCGCTGCTTGAGAGTGGAACTTGCTGGGATGGGGAGAGAAAAGAAAATTTTTATTGTATTACGTTGGAGAGAGAAAACACGGCTAGAAATGTTTTTAAAGCATTTTTTTGGGGGGGTTGTGTGCCCTGCTGGCGTGGCTCAGGGGCTGAGCATGGATCTAGGAACCAGGAGGTCACTGTTCGATTCCCAGTCAGGGTATATGTCCAGGTTTTGGGCTTGATTCCCAGTGGGGGATGGGCTGCGGGGGAGGTAACTGATCAATGATGTCTCTCATCATTGATGTTTCTGTCTCTCTCTCCCCCTTCCTCTCTGAAATTAATAAAAAGATATTTAAAACATTTTTTTTTGTTATTCTTCTTATCAGTGTCTTTTATTTCTGCTTCCTTCTCAAGACAGTTTTCCCCAGGTGTGAGTGCCTTCCCTTGCTTAAATCCACCTGTGCACATCATCGCCCCCACACAGGCAATTGAAACCCCTTTTGCTAGTTTCGAGAGTGAAAAGGTTTCAGGTGCACAATGTTGCCCACTGTTTAAGAGGTGAGTGAGGACTGAGTTACACGGCCACCTACAGAGTCTCGCCATTTTTTTTTTTTTTTTAAGCAGCCTCCCAGCACCACCGACGCTTGTCCAGAACAGAACAGATTAAACCTATGCCTTGCTTTCGTGACCTCAGAGGCAACAGGAAAACTATGTATCTGTGTCAAAAATCTATCTTTTCGGGTACTGTTTAAAAATCTATAATTTCCGTGGGCAGTGAGCTCAGTGTTGGAACAAATCTCAATTTTATTTGCTGCTGGAAGCTGCATGGGCCCCTCATTAGTACATCAGAGGTCAGATGCATGCAGGGGCGGCAGCTGGGACACTAATGATTTCATACGGCTTTGTATGACCGCCGGCCGCCCGCAGTGCTGTAAATCGGACTCAGGGCTCTAATTTTTCCCCTCCCCAAAACCTCCAGGGAGTTGGTCCGAGACCTGCCTCTTGTGAGATAGAACTTAAGATAATATTTACAGTGGAGGGCAAAGGAGAAATACTACCTAATGGGAGCATTGTGGGAAGAATGGTAGCAACCTATTTGAAGTAAATTACATCTGGCCATTGGAGTAGCTCATTTATGGGCTCAACGAGTATTTATTAGGTCTTTAGCTAGGAAGAGTGCCGTGCTAAGGCTAGGCTCCAAACTTCACCCCATCAACAGTAGGTCCTCCCCTCCCTCCCCCCTTTCTACAATTTTTTAAAAATCCTCACCTGAAGGTACGTTTTTAAATTGATTGAGAGAGAGAGAGAGGAAGAGAAACTGGCATTGATTCCTGTGTGGGCCTTCACTAGGGATTGAACCTGTAATCTGGGTATGTGCCCTGACTGGGAATTGAACCCGCAACCTTTTGGTGTATGGCACAACACTCCAACCAATTGAGCTTACCTGGCCAGGGCTCTGTCACCCTTTTTTAAAGATACAATTAAAAAAGAAATTACAAAAAAAATAGATTGTAAATTTGCAATTTGAGTCTTGACAATTATATATAAATCTGTGTACTCATCAAGATATTAGGACATTTCCATCACACCAGAACAGTTCCTTTGAGTGCCCTCCAGTCACTCCTGTTTTTACCTGCCACCCCCCCCCCCCCCCCCACCTCTGATTAGTTTTGCCTTCATATAAATGGAATTATGCAGTCTGTTATTTTTTATTCTGGCTTTTCCCACCAAGCATATGCCTTTGAGATTTTTTCTGCATGATTTCACCAGTCCGTGAATTCATTTTCGTTGCTGAAAAATAGTTTTTTGTGTGGGTATACCAACCTGCCTTTCTGGTGTGGAAAATTTTAATTTCTAAACTGGAAGAATGTTTTAAACCCCCAGTTTTATTTAAGGAAATAAGTTCATTTGCTAAAAAGTAACGTTCGGTAGGCAGTAATCCAAAACACAATTCTGGCATGTTCCACGTGCCACTCAATGGCGTCATAACTGGGATCAGTTGCAGGAAACCCCGAGTGCATGTGTGTCTCTTGGCCACTGTGGGCCACTGTTAGCGCCTTCAAGAAATGTGAGTGAGCCCTGGCCGGTTTGGCTCGGTGGTTGGAGCTTTGGACAGCCCTCCGAAAGATCTCAGTTCCCATTCCCAGTCGGTGGCACTGCAGGAGGCAACCAATCCGATGTGTCTCTCTCACATCGGTGCTTCTCTCTCTGTCCCCCTTCCCTTCCACTCTTAAAAAAAATCAATGGAAAAATATCCTCAGGTGAGGATTAACAACAACATCAACAAAAATGTGAGTGAGACTCCAGGCTGTGTGCAGCAAACCCTGCTGGCCTTGGTAGGCACGGGCCATGCAAGGGCCTCGGGCTGCGTATGGTGGGGCAGAGATAAGAGGCTCCAGCCTGAAGATCAGAATCACTGGAGTGAGGGAGCTGCTGCAGGTTGGCTTCCCCAGAGGCAGGCGCTGGGGGCCTGGATAGTGAACTTGTTTGTCAGCAGCGGTGAAAGGCAGGGAAGGAAGCAGATGCGGGCCCAACAAGGCTCTTTCAGTGCCAGTAAAATGGAATGAGCTAGACACGTAGCTCTGTATGACACGGTATTTATACTTTAAAAATTAGATGTTTCTTATGGCTTCACAAAGGCTCTGTTTTCTGCCCAAATCCCCCTGCCCCTCTCCACCTCCACCTCTGCCCTTTGCTCACTTGGTGGGTTTCTCTTGTCCAGTTAAACTAACTGCAGCTCCTTGAGTAGGGTCGAGCCTGCAACCAGTTTACATGTCCTTGACCGGAATCGAGCCCAGGACCCTTCAGTCTGTGGGCTGACGCTCTATCCACTGAGCAAAACCGGCTTGGGCACCACCAGGTACTCTCGATTCTTTCTGTTGCTTGGTGAGGCCTGGTAACGAATTTTACTTAGCTAGCTGGCCAGGCAGGTAGTCATATGTGCCCTTGGGATCGGATGTGCTTCGAGATGTCTGATTCTAGAAGTTTTGAGGCACATCTGTACATGCATCTATTAGTAACAACACCACAAAATAGTGAGTATTAGCGTTGCTTCAGAGAGCTCACTGTCAGTGGTAAAAATCATAAAATCATTTTCAGGTTTTGCTGTCCAATAGCATACAGTCTTCAGGTTTGAGGATGCAAAACAACCAGGCCTGCCTTTCTGCCGCTCCTCTTCTGAGCGGTTCCTTTGCCCCCCAGACCCATCATTGGCCGTCTCACCTGGCGTCCCCCTGCTGGCTTTTTGTGTACTTTGGGTCTTGTTGGGAACAGGAACAGGCACTTGCTAACCTGTGTTCCCATGGAGGGAGGTTGAGCTGGCTTGAAGTTATTAAATTCGAGAATCCTTACTAACCACACTTGACAAGTAGATGTTTCCCCCGACACATCAAGTGACGTAGCAGTGGGAAATATTGCCAAGTTGAAAATTTTGGGTTGTATAACGAACAGGGATAGTCCCTGCAGCATTGCTTGTGATTTTTTTTTTCAAAAAAAAAAAATTGGGACTTGCTCCTGTCCATAGGTACTAATGAGCAATTAAATAAATTATGGTTACATTCACAGATGACATATCATGCAGCCATTCTTAAGGCAGGCAGCTTGACCCAGGACACTCTCCAAGTTTAATATGGTTAAGTGAAGGAAAAAAAAAAAGTCGACTGTTTGTCTTCTAAAAATTCGAATGTGTAGAATATAGCATATTTTGGATGATTATGTAAATTGGGAGATTTAAAACTATTTGCACTTACATGTCTTTGTGTGTTAAAAACACAGGGAGTTCCCTATCTAAATTTTTTCAGGCACTCCCCTTCCCCACACAAGAAATAATTTGTCCTCAGCCCAGCTCTGCTATTTTGAGCTGGTGGTGATTGTGCTTGGAAAAGGGTCCAGATTTATTTTTCCCCCTCTTTCTACGGGTAATGGGGGGAGGGGGGCGCGGGGCACAGCAGCAGCACGCGGCCAGGGAGACAGGAGGAGCCCCTGCCTCGGGTGTGGACTCAGTATTCAGTGTACGTTCCATAAATCAAGTAAAGCTTGGTTTTGATGTTATTGAATGGACTTAGCTTTGTGGCTGGACTTCACTCCTTGAACTTGGCTTACCCACTTTTAAAGAGGAGAGCCTGCCCAGTGGCACACACTGATAAGGCTTCTAGTTGTCACCAGTCATTCTTCATTCACTTCGTTTCTATCGTGGGAAACTTAAGAAGAAGCCCTTTTGGGTGGGTGGGGACCTCTTTCTGTCTGAGCCGGAGTTTGTGGGAGGCCAGATGTCGTCCCCAGTCATTTTAAGCGATGTTAGGGGAAAAAAATCTCAGAGATAACTTTAACACAGCGGTCCATATATTGTATTTCATTTGTGGGGTATTTTGCCTACGAGAGGCCCGTCCGTCCTTTGCGCTTGCGTTCTTCACTGATGGGGGCAGTTGTGTTTGAAACTAGAAGCTCGTTCTTACAGATGTGCGGTGTGGACGAATTCCTTGTTGTGGATCGCAGGTATTAGAAAAAGTAGGTTGTGTAAAGCGCACGCGCGCACACACACACACACAGTCTTATTCGTTAACAAAGCACTTTATTTAAGCTCTGGCTAAGGTAAACCTGCCTACTTGGTATTTTTATTTATTTATTTTTTCTTTAACCTCCCCCTTCCTCTCCTGCAGGGCCCACATTCCTAGGTCTTTGTCTCTGCCTGGTATTTTAGAAATTTTGGGAGAGGAAGGCAGTGGGTGGGGCCTCCTGGAAGCTGGGGGCAGGGAAGAGGGTGGTCACTTGCCAGGTCAGAGGTCGAGCCTGCTCCATTCAGCTGGGGCAGCCAGATTGTCGCCATGCAGGGGCGGGAGGAGGTGGGGGTGGGGGCGTGTCTGTGCATCTGCCCGGGAAGCCCCAAACAGGCAGCCCCAGGCCCTGGAATTCCTCCCACCAGAGGCCTGCTCCCCGCCCCCCTTCCTGGAGCCATAGTTCATGGCCTCTGCTACATATCTGGCCTTGGACCCTCCACACAGCCCTTTCTTTGGAAGACGTGGGTTGCCCAGTTTGCTCTGTTAAAATATCTTGCAGCTGATTCAGAGAATTGCACCCATGTACACATCCTTACCTATGGATCGTGTTTCACAGGCTCTGAAATGGTGGGTTTTCGACCTTAGAAATTTCAAGCAGACGAGATGCGGAGCTTCTAAACGGAGTGCGAAATCTTCCCCAAAGTTCTACTCCCAACTTTTTATTAGAGAGTTTATATAATGGATCACATTTTCAGTATTTGGGGACAATATGTGTTGTTGTTGTTCTTAAAGTCAGTGATTTATTAATTACAAGCACCATGCGGCTATGGTTCTACTCACCCACAGCTTTTTCTGACCAACTGGCTGGGTGCTCCCCATGCCCAGCCCCAGCATGGCCTAGAGCTGCATCCATCTCGTGTGAAATGATGCCAGGTGGGATTGCATCCAGGGACCCGGGACCCCCTTTGTCCATTTTGGGGGTTCCAGCCTGCACATGTGAGGGGCCTGGTGCCAGGGGCTTCGGGCATTCTGCTCCTTCCACCCTCTGGCCAGGATTTCTTTTCTGGCCACTTCACCTGCAGAATTCTTCGACGCCTCTCACTTGTCGGATTCACCAGGTTCCAATTTTCACAAACCTCTAAAACCCAGAAAAATCCCCTTAATTCCTGGCAGTTGCACAACTGGCCCCTGGAGGAGCCTGGCTTCCTGCTTTGGCCCAGAGTTATTATTTCCAAGCCTCTTGGTTTCTGAGGTTGAGATCCTAGAGACAGGGTTCTTGGGGTTTCTGGGGTAGAAGAGGTCTCCTGAGGTACCTAGTCAGACTGGCTAGCTTGTCCCATGACCAGGTAGTGCCAGGCTCAGGTGAACAGCCTAAGGTTCTTTGTCACTCAGCTAACTAACTGCCTGTGCAGATAGATGAGCTGTCTCCCACACAGCTGTCGGACAACAGGCTGGTCCTGAGAAGAGGTAGAGAAGATTGCTTAACTGTGGGCAGGAGACAGAAGGCTGGCCAGCATGCCTCATTCTAATTTAAAAGGAACCTTCTGATGGGAGGTTTTTTACACTTGCCATTAGCATCGGGGTGATTCCTTTCTTCCCACGACAAATGGAGGGAGCAAAGGGGAAGCAAAGTGGCTGAAACCTGTGGGCGAATTGCTTTAGCATCACATCATTAAAAAGAAAAAAAAGAAAAAGACCCCAGGAATTTCCCCCAAATGCATCCAGTGTCAGGTCTTGTGGTTAGTATTTAAGGTGAGATAGAGAATTTTGGGTTTACCAGATTAGAAAGATGAGTTCATCTCCACGTGGCGGACCTGCTTTTGAGAGTGATTGGTCTCGAAGAAGGCCAGTTGCCAACACTTGGTTTTCAGTCTACCATGGCTCCTGAACGGCATCTCGCTGGATGGCAAAAACGGTAGAAGACTATGAACCTGACCACGTTCTCCCTCCTGTGATATAGACTCCATAAAACATGCCACGTCAGAGCCATTTCTTAAAAGTAGGAACGGAATACCCTAAATCTTTGCCTCCAGCCCAGAGGGGAGCAGGCCTGTTGACTGGGCTGAGCGCTTGGGAGATCCTTTCCTAGTGAGTATGCTTCATGCCAAGACTTGATGGGTTAATGCACGGATCTGGAAAAGGAGAGAAACAGCATTCTCACTGTTTGCCTCAGGGCTCCCACTAACCCTTTCTCCCTCCTTATCTCTGTCTCTCTGTCTCCCTGTCTCTGCTTCTCAGCCTGGATGAGCTCTGGAACCCCTTTGACCTCCAGGAGACCTAGCAAGGTGCTGTGGGCTCTGCATGAGGAGGCCAGTACCAGGCGTGGGTTGGAAGCAACTCTTTAGGAGTCTCCGGTCACACACAGTAGTACAGTGTACAGATGGCGTGTTGTACAATTGTGCACCTGAAACCTGTATAATTTTGGTAACCCGTGTCACTGCAATTAATTCAATTAAAAAAAAAAAAGAATTAGTCTTAGGTTGGCCTCCTTGCTCTGCCCTTGCTAGCTGTGTGGCCTTAAGCACCTCACAACCTCTTGTGTTCACCTGGAGATGAAGTGCATGGTGCACTGTGTATGTGAGAGAACCCCCTTGGACACCACTCCCCTGCCTCCTGTTGCATGTTGGCTGGCTTTGCCTCACACCCAAGTATACCAGAGGCAAATTTAAGCTCTGCTCTTGAAAGCAATCCAGCAAACATTTACAGAGAGTGGTGCTAAGTGCCCTGCTCTGTGGAGGGATACGAGACTGGCCCAGTTTCTGAGCCAAAGAGCTGTCGCTCTTGAGAGCTCCTCATTTATCAGCAGGTGGAGGTGGTGCCAGCCCTTCCTCTCCCTCCCTCCCAGCATGCTGGGCCCCAGGGAAATAACAGAACATCGGCTCTCTCAGCATGGGCTGCCTCCCCGGGTCAACTCCTTGGGACAACTTGGCAGGAAGAAGAAAGACAAGAAGCTGGCTGACCTTACCCCACTAGCTTTTTGCCTTCCTTCCAGGAGCTTAAGCCCTTAGCTTGCTTGAGTGCCTGGGGAACCAGCAACCTGTGGTGTGAGGCTGATGGATATTGGCCTAACCTTGCTTCACATGCCCAGGGGCAGGGGTGGCGAGAGAAAATTTCTGGTGTGTGCTTTCTTTTGGACTACCAATCTCAGATCAGGAAAACATCGTCTTCGAATATTTCTGGGTAATTAAATCTAAGATACAGGGAAATATTATGGCCTGTGAAGTGTCTCAGTTATGTTTCTGAATGAAACTGGAGTGGAATGATGGTTGTCTTTCTTTTGACCGGGCGGGGTGGGGAGAAGAGCAAGTTGGGCTCACAGTTGACTACACTGCTCCCTGCCCTTGTAGGGTGTGTGCGAGGTTATTGGGAGGGGAGAGGCTGGGAGCCTGGGAGCCAGAGCCCCTGTTGCTGTCCTTTCTGTCCCCAGGCCTGCGGCTCTCATTCATGCCTGTCCCCTCTCTGGTCTCCAGGTGCTGCACCTGTACTGTGACACTTGCTCGGTGCCCATCTGTCGTGAGTGTACAATGGGCCGGCACGGGGGCCACAGCTTCATCTACCTCCAGGAGGCACTGCAGGACTCCCGGGCACTCACCATCCAGCTGCTGGCTGACGCCCAGCAGGGCCGCCAGGCGATCCAGGTCAGTCCTTCCTTCCCCACCCACCCTTCACCTACTTCCTTGTGCATGAAACCTTTCCCACTACCTTTCAGATGGCGTGTGTAGATTACTGGGCAGACGCCAGTGTGTGGGGGCCTTGGTGGAACAATGACCCAAGTGAGCTCATGTGATATCCATGCAGCAATAATCCCTGGGGCTGGGGCACCGGGGTGGGGACCACCTTGAAGTCTTGTGCAGATTAGGATGTGGCCAAAGTTAATGGCTGGTCTAGGCTTGTTCCATACACGTAGCCTGGGCCCCTATCACCTCATCTGTCTGTTTCCCATCCAGCCCCTCCCCAATTCCAGGTGGACTACACAGAAGGCCTGGGAGCTTGATGCTTTTCAGATAGAGACCTTTGCTATTCAGATTTATTTATTTATAGGTGAGAAAGAAGCGAGTATGGGCACTTTCCCATAAGGTTCAGAGTCTCAAAACTTCTTCCCTGGGTGATCAAGTCACATCCCGGTCATTTTGACTCTTGTTTCTGTTTAATTTCTATCTCTTTGGGGTTGGGGACACACGTAACTTTGGGGCATAGCACCGTTCTCTCACGCAGCCAGGTAATATTGTGTGCCTGCACGATTTTGAATCTCCTTGCCTGATCCAGGTTTTAGGAACACGAAAACACCATGAGATGTGTTAGTCTTTGTTTTGTAGGCTAAGCTGGAAAAATCAAGGAACACTGCTAATCCTTGAGCAGAAATAGAATAGGAAGCGATTGTTACTTACATTCTAGAGCAGTGGTCGGCAAACTGCGGCTCGCGAGCCACATGCGGCTCTTTGGCCCCTTGAGTGTGGCTCTTCCACAAAATACCATGTGCGGGCGCGCATGTACACTACGATTGAAACTTCGTGGCCCATACACAGAAATCGGTATTTTGTGGAAGAGCCACACTCAAGGGGCCAGCGAGCCGCAGTTTGCCAACCACTGTTTCTAGAGTATTTGAATAAGTGAATTGTTAAAAAAGCATCTTTTAGCCCTAATTGGTTTGGCTCAGTGGATAGAGCAAAAGTATATTTTAGGAAAGTGGTTGAAGAACTGACCGTGTGCTCTAGGGAAGATGGTTTAGATTTTAATATATTTCTCCACAGCTGTCACTTTCCTGTGCGTGATGTTGAAGTTATCTTTCTGATGAGTCAAGTTGTCTGATATCCACGTCCTAAAATGGAAGGTTTGAGAGTCTGTTTCCGGAATGATTTACTCTGTCGTATTCTTATTATGCCTTCAGAGTGTCTCTGTCCCGTGGTTGCTGTTACATCTCACCTGTGAGCATCCTCACTGGTACATACTCTGTTTTATTTCTATTCTATCTTAATGGCTGTGGCCCTGTGAATGAAGTGGTTTGTGGTTTCCATTTTTTTTATGCCACTACAGTTAGGACCTTGTCCAGTGCTTGCCCTGCAGGCTTCTTTCTAAGACACCGTCACCTGGGGAGTTTAAAGAACCACTGATGTCACCCTTGCTGGTGTGGCTCCGTTGGGTGCCTTGCCTTTGTGCACCAAAAGGTTGCCCGTTTGATTCCCCTTCAGGGCACATTCCCAGGTTGCAGGCTCAATCCCCAGTAAGAGGGTGTGCAGGAAACAGCCGATTGATGATTCTCTCTCATTGTTGATGTTTCTATCTCTCTCTCTCCCTCTCTGAAACCAATCAATAAATATATATACATTAAAAAAAATAAACATGGTCACTCCATGTTAAAGCAAGAGTAACAGATATTACACCATTTTGCACAAAAATGAGAACTGAGCTTAATGTCTAAGCATAATTGTTTTAGGTTGTACAGATGCAATGTTAATCTAGACTTTTGGATTAATTTTGTCCCTTATCTCCTGTTTGTCTTTTATCATTTCTTTGATCATCCTAATAGACTAAGGTCCCCTGCGGACACTCCAGCTTGCCATGGTGGAAAGCTGCCACAACTATGCTGAGAATGCCTACTCTCTCGTGAACTAATTTAAACTATCCCCAAAAGTAGATCAAGGAAACATTTTTTTTTCTATTACAAATAATGGAAATGGAGGAACAAAATTAATTGCTTTGCCCAAGCAACCAGATCTTAACCAATCGGCCTTCCCTTTTCTTCAGTGAGGACTACCAAACCTGTTTACTGAGCCCCTGCTTTGTTCCAGGCACTGAAATAGGTGCTTTATGCATACATAGTAGTGCTTTTATGGTGTGAGTGTCATTCTTTCCATTTTGCAAAGATAACACTTTGCTCCAAAGAAATTAACCTCAAGTAACCTGCCAGAGGCACACTAAGGGTGAATAGAATTGCAGTTTGAATCCAAAACTAACAGTTTCTCATTTGGGAAGCATGTGAGCAGGTATCCTCTCTCTAGCTCCCCAACCCCTTCTTATGCATGTGCAGCCCACCACCACCACACGCACCCCCCAAATATGAAGAAAAATCATGGTTGAAGAACTTGAATACACCATGACCTAATTTAAAAATTTCCCATGCTGCCTTAATTAGGACTCTTGGTTGCCATTGACTAAAAGGGAATGAATAGTCTCAGGTGACCAGGTAGAAGAATATGGATGGATCAGGCTTCAGGTATCCAGGGACGCAGACCTTGGTGCCAGCACTGTCAATCATTTAGCTCTGTCCCTCTCTCCATGGTAACCTCATTCTTGCTACTGGATCTGGGCTTGTCCATGTAGTGTGGAGAGAGAGGTGGGCTTAAGTGGCGATCGCTTCAGGCCTGCACTGTTCAGCAAGCCGCCCTCAGGGAAAGAGTGGGTATCCTCTTCCCTTTTGAGGTCGGTGGAGGAGGCTGGAACATCCTATATAATAAAAGCCCAGTGACAGAAACTGCAGAAGAACCAGAGACCAGAATGACCACGGCCCCTTGCCCCGGCCAGCCCCGCCCCCCAGCGAGTGGTTAAGGGCGATCAGGCAGGCAGGCAGAGTGGTTAGGGGCGATGAGACAGGCGAGCAGAGTGGCTAGGGGCAATCAGGCAGATAGGCGAGCAGTTAGGAGCCAGTGGTCCTGGATTGCAAGAGGGATGTCCAACTGCCAGTTTAGGCCCTATCTGCAGGGATCCCTGTGGGATTGGGCCTAAACCGGCAGTCGGACAGTTGGACATCGCCTGAGGAGTTCCAGATTGCTAGAGGGTACGAATTTTGTGCACCGGACCTCTAGTCCATATACAAAATCCCAGGGAAGGGCCCTTGACTGGCCTGTCTTCCTTCATTCCTCCTTGGCCACAGTGGCTGGGGGCACTATGATAGGGAGTTCCCTTTGGAGCAAATGAATGAGCATTTAACATCTCAAAGTAAAGGATACTAGGCAGCCACATCTGCAGGTAGACAGATAGTAGATTTAAGTCCATATCAACTTTACACCACCTTTATTTATTTTTTTTTTTAAATAATATATTTTATTGATTTTTTTACAGAGAGGAAGGGAGACGGATAGAGAGTTAGAAACATCAGTGAGAGAGAGAGACATTGATCAGCTGCCTCCTGCACATCCCCCACTGGGGATGTGCCCGCAACCAAGGTACATGCCCTTGATCGGAATCGAACCCGGGGCCCTTCAGTCCGCAGTCCGACGCTCTATCCACTGAGCCAAATCGATTAGGGCGTTTACACCACCTTTAAATGAGTATTAGTAACCCAGGAATATATTTTACAATGTGTATGGGCTCAGTACAGTTTGGGGGGTTGTTTTAATTTACATTTAACAGCTTTTGTTTAGAAAAACATTTCAGAAACTCTGTTCCCTTTCTTCAACCAGAGGATATTTGTCTTATTGGTTTCCCCTCTGTAGTTGGAAGATAATATACACTCACTAGAGGTGTTTTTTGCCTTTTTTTCAGGTCACTTCTGGACCCCAAATCACACACTGATCCTCTTTTATGTGTTTGTGTTGGGGCCAGAAGGCTTGAGATATATATTGGCTGCTCTCCTGTCCTATATAATAAAAGGGTAATATGCAAATGACCGAACAGTGGAAGGACAGGTCGCTTGGATGCGCACTGACCACCAGGGGGTAGACGCTCAATGCAGGAGCTGCCCCCTGGTGGTCAGTGTGCTCCCACAGGGGGAGCGCTGCTTAGCCACAAGCCTGGCTGACTGCTGGTGAACACAGCAGCCCGCCTCCGCAGCACTAAGGATGTCCAACTGCGGCTTAGGCTCTGGGGAGCAGGCCTAAGCCGTCAGTCGGACATCCCCCGAAGGCTCCCGCACTGCAAAAGGGTGCAGGCCAGGCTGAGGGACACCCCCTCCCCCCTCCAGTGCACGAATGTCATGCACCGGGCCTCTAGGAATAAATAAGCAGTCATGCCCTGTAAGCAGCTTGTGTATTAACCTCCCTCATCTTGTCTTGAGCACCTTCTTTAAAAAAATATATATATATATGTTTTTTGAGAGGAAAGGAGAGGGAGAGAGAGATAGAAACATCAATGATGAGAGAGAATCATTGATCAGCTGCCTCCCGCACGCCCCCCACTAGGAATTGAGCCCGCAACCCGGGCACATGCCTTTGACTGGAATCGAACCCAGGACCATTGAGTCCACAGGCCAACGCTCTGTCCAATGAGCCAAGCTGGCCAGGGCTTGAGCACCTTCTTTTCCTCCCATCCTGCTGTCCTCATCAGCTTCTTTTCAAGATTAATTTCTGTGTAAGCTTTTAATAAATCATTCCTGGGTGGGAAGAGTATACATAAAAAAGACATCTCTCCCATTGACTGTGTTTTTTTAAAAAAAATCCAGTGTTAACTTAGCTTTTTATATTTATAAAAAGCACCCAGAAGTAAATCCTTTGATTAATTCTAGACAGAATTACCCTGACGAGAGTCTAGAATTGCCCATATCAAAGAAAACATGGAAGATGTTTGTCGTGTTATCTCATCATTTTTATTGCTTTTTAGAACCTATTATTTTTAAATTTTTTTTTTTTATTATTGATTTCAGAAAGGAAGGGAGAGGTAAAGAAACATCAGTGACGAGAGAGAATCAGCAATTGGCTGCCTCCTGCAAGTCCCACACTGCAACCTGGGCATGTGCCCTGACCGGGATCGAACCCGTGACCTTCTGGTTCATAGGTCGATGCTCAACCACTGAGCCATGCTGGCGGGGCAGAACCTTCTATTATTTTGATTCTTCCTGAAAAATACACATCATTCTGGTCACCTGTGTAATTAGAGGGTTTTATAAGGTGTACTGATTACCTGGTGATATTCATAAGCAGGATAGGAATATGGTTGCTCTCCACATAAGAGAGCCTTGATTCTTTAATTGTTTTATGTCTTTTATCACATTTAAGATGCCATTGGGTGTCAGATGCACATTTATTTTATATATAACTAATGAAGGAAAAACTGTGCTGACTTTTTTGTTTGTTAATCCTCACTTAAGGATATTTCTTCCATAATTTTTTTCTTTTAAGAGAAAGGGAGGGAGGAAGAGAGAGAAGAAACATTAATGTGAGAGAGACACATCAATTGGTTAATTCCTACATGCACTGCATGTACACCAAACAGGGTAGGGAAACGAACCTGCAACCCAGGTATATGCCCTTGACCAGGAATCAAGCCCTGGACCCTTTGGTCTGCAGGCCGACGCTCCAACCACTAAGCCATGTACTGACAATTTTAAGATGAATCATAGTTTCAAAGCTCTTAAATGTGATTACAATTATATGAGTACAGTAGAGTATTTTTCATTATCTGATATGGTGGCCTGCGATTTTATGCACTTTTATCTTCTGGTTATCGGTGCACTTTAAATACCAGCCAGTAGGCCACCACTGTTCTCCACGGCGGACATCACTAATCGCTTTCTGCACTCCGCCCTAGGAAACCCACAGCTGGCCTCAGACTCCTCGGTACTAAGTGGTCAGCTGGCATGCACTGACTGATTCGCCAGCCGAGATGGAGACCCTCAATTTCAGATGTTTGATTGGCTCTGTGTTAACATTTAGAAGATAATATTTTTTTCTTCAAGCCCCATGCTTGTTGGTTGTTTTGTTTGTTTTAATTTTAACTGCAAAGTGTGTTTCTGTTTTCAAAGTTGACCCAGCCCCTTCCCCACTGTCATCTTCCCCAACCCACCTGCCTCTTGTCTCCTTCAGAGGCCCTGCTTTCTTGATAATGGGAACGAGTTCAGCAGGTCCTGGCTGCGCATCTTGGAATGCAGTGCTTGACTGGTTTGTGCACGATTTAGAAAGCAAAGACCCATTTTGTCTGCAACACGGCCTTTATGACTCTCAACCCTAGGATTGATGTTATCCTTGCATGCTTGGGGGTGACTGAGATTGTAGTAAGAGCTTTTCTCCCCTTCCACCTGCTTGAAAAATGGAAGAAACGGTTCTTGCTAGAGAATGGGAGTTCCAAACCCAAGGGCTTGGCTTGCAGGAATCTGGCAGGGCCTGAGGGAGCAGGGTAGAGTCACATGATAAGCGCCCTACCCCACCCCCACGCAAAGGGGGTGGTCGTTGCTTTCCCAGCCACTTCTTGCCCTACAGGAGTGTTGGCCTTGTTATTTTCAAATCTTGTGATTTTTTTTTTATAGAAATCAGTTTGGTATACAATGAATGACATTGGTGAAAATAGAAAGCATTTTGCCACCTCTGCTGATCATTGAAGAAACATTAAGTTGGTGTGGTTCAGTGGTTGAGCATTGACCTATGAACCAGGAGGTTACGGTTCGATTCCTGGTCAGGGCACATGCCCCGGTTGCCTGGGTTGGGGGGCTCAATCCCCAGTAGGGGTCGTGCAGGAGGCAGCTGATCAGTGATTCTCATCATTGTTGTTTCCTTTTCTTTTCCTTTACTTTCTTTTTTTCTTTTTCATCATTGATGTTTCTATCTCTCCTGCTCCCTTCCTCTCTGAAATCAATAAAAAAGAAATATTATGGTCCAACTAGCATGGCTCAGTGGTTGTTTCAGGGCACACGCCCAGTTTTTGGGCTCCATCCCCAGTGTGCAGGAGGCAACCGATCAATAATTCTCTCTCATCATTGATGTTTCTATCTCTCCCTCTTCCTTCCTCTCTCTAAAATCAGTAAAACATATTTTTTAAAAAAGAGATATTATGGACACAGGCTTGGTTGTGTCAGATATTGAGTTGGACACGTCTGTGCTAATTAATAACCAACACACCTGAAAACAGGGTGTGCCTGTCACTGAGTTCTCCTCTCCCACCCTTTCTCACCTGCACCAGGGGACGCTGGGGCTGCAGCACTCCCTTCCAGCCACTACCTGGAAGTGGGAAGAAGGGACTCGCTTCTTCCTTTTAACTTCGTGTTGTTACCAGGGGCATTTTTTCAACCTGGCTGCAGAAGTTGCTTCCCATGTCTTGCTTTTGCCGCTCCCAGAATGAACGGGAAAACCCCCAATTTCTTCTCGTCATTCTTGGGAACCCCAGAGGGGTCGGTGGCTACTTCTCCCAGTTACTGTCTATCTCTAATCCTCAGCATGCCCTTTGTCCTAGCCCTGCTCCAATTCCTCGTTAGCCCGATTCTTTAAATCATCTCTGTTTCAATGTCTCGTGAGGTTTCTCTTTTTCTGAATGAATCTTGACAGCCTGCGACATTTGAAATCTACCAAACCCCATTATATCTGCTTATATGCACACTTGCTTTGTTGGTCATTCTGGTTTTTGATCTTAAGGGAAAATTTGGACAAATTCATCTGCTTCCGTTTGTTGGCTACTTGTTAGTTTCCTAGGGCTACTTCAACAATTTACCACCACCTGGGTGACTTAAACAATAGGAATGTGTTATCTCGCAGTTCTAAAGGCTAGGAGTCCAGAATCAGGGTGTCAGCAAGAATGCGCTATGCTCCTACTGGAAGTTCTAGGAAAGAATCTTTGCTTGCCAGCTGTTGTGGTCAGCTCTTTCCATGTATTCTGTGCATTTTTTTCTCACAGTCCTCCTTTACCAGGGTTGGGGGCCAGGAACTCGTCTCAAGGCCTGGAGCCAGGATTTGAACCTGGTTACCCGACTCCTGTGTTGATCACCAGCCTGGTTTGCCCAGGACTGCCCCAGTTTTTTGATGTGTTCCGTATTCTGGATACTCCTCTGTCCAGGGTACAAGGATGGTTGGTCACCCGTCACCAATTCCTGAGCCCAGGTCAGGCTCCAAACTCTTTATGCTTCCCCAGGCCCCTCCTGGTTTGGGACGCCAGCTCTAAGACTACTGCACCATCAGCAGTCAGTTTACTAGTAGAATCCCTGATTTAATACCTCAGTATCTCAGAGAAATCCTTTTGAAGACGTGTCATGTAATATTAATGAAAACACGAGGCCTTCTGTCTGGATTAATTTTTTATGAACAATAATACGTCTGATTAAACTGGCTGATTTACTAGAGCTGGTGGTACAGGGTGTGGGGGTGGTGGTGGTGTTGATGGTCTCTAACCACAGGGCACGGTTTCTGAGGTGACCAATATTCCCAGTATGCACGTGGGGTTGGTTCTGGCTGGAAATGACATGACAGGAAGGTGATGGATCGCCGCTGGCTTGCAGCCTGTTGTATAACCCTCCCGTGCGGGATGGGCCCAGCCTTCAGGGTTTCCCCCAGGTGGGCAGTAAGAAGGCCAGACAGTCTGTGGGAAGGAAGTTGTTCGCGTGCCCGGGGTAGTGCATTTCACATCTGATCCGTATTCCCAGTTTTCGGCTGCGACCCAGCTACACTGGTTTCACTGTGTCAGAGTAGCTCTTAATAGTCCTGACATTCACCGGGTAGGTGCCATTTCCCCTACAAAGACATCCAGCGCTTGCCAGCAACTCCTTCAGTTACATGTCAGACAGATGCCATTCTCTCCCCAAGTGTCTGCTTTTCTTTCCAAGGAAGTGGAGCAAGCGGTCTGGGGGGCCCTGGGTGTTCGCTTTTCAGGTCTGGTGGGGGTTGGGGGGGGGCAGACTTAAACGTTTTGTTGAAAGCGTGTGAAGGTCCCTCTGATGCCATGCAAATTGTTTCTGGTTTTCCAGCTGAGTATTGAGCAGGCCCAGACCGTGGCGGAGCAGGTGGAGATGAAGGCCAAGGTGGTGCAGTCGGAGGTCAAGGCCGTGACTGCAAGACATAAGAAGGCCCTGGAGGAGCGGGAGTGCGAGCTGCTGTGGAAGGTAATGGGGAGAGTGCAACACCTCCCCCCGACCCCCACCCCCC